CTGCTTGGAATAAGAAGACAATTGGAACATTGCATTTAAATGTTGGTTGATGTGGCGTTTTTACAGATGACGGAAATGTGAAGCAGTGTGATATAATAAAATAATAGTTTGCGATAAATGTCTGGATTTACTTGTTCATGACAATTTGTCGAATCACATTCCATTGTTATCATGCTGGGAAACCCTCTATTTGACAGCCAGCGGAAGGTTTTGTTCATCTTGGGTCTCAGCAGGTAAGCGCCATTCCAGAGATTTCATCAACAGTGTGTTTCACGTGAAGCCAGATCACATGGAACCTGACGTACGCACTCATGTATGGACAATCTTGCAGCCTCACCCGAAACTTGGCCAAGTCCGTTATGAATCAAATGAAACTTGTGGCATGAGTGGTATATAGTTTTGGAAACCTCGAGCACGCACTTGATTTTTGAGCCTCAAACAGGTCCAACCAGGTTGACCGCCATGGAAATGTTTTCGATAATCTTGGCAGTAGATTCATTTGTGAAAATTTGCTGCGCCATTTCGACTGTCAAATATCAGCTGACAACCAGCTGAGCGAACGAACCAACGACCATCTACGCCACCTGACCTACCGACATTCTCCCGAAATATTATTCTAATGCTGTCAGCTACTTTTGTCCACTGTTCGCGGGTATACTGTTCAACGGTAACCTGTGTTTTCACATCCCAGCTCATGAAAATTTACGCATAATCCAATCCAGCTAAGGACACCTGGACATAATAGATAAATGCAAATAGCGAACAAATGTCTAAACCTTCCGGTCGAAATAGGAGTTGCGAGCGAACGTCAAGATATCCTCAATAATCTCGGCAACTGCGATCGCATATCAGTGTTTCCGAATAGCTAACACGTTTTGTAAATTACTGGTATTTACGTGTGCACGAAACGGAACCCGACCGAATTTCTTTGAAAACGGCTGCCATATCTGTTAGGCATTCTACTTTGTTGATGTGCGAATACGTGAGATTTGATTATTGGATATGTGAATTTCCTTACAGGTTTAAGAATATCCCTTGTTTCATTCAGTAAATCAGTAACTTTTGATTGTTTGCAAGAACAAAACGTTGGTAGCGTACCACAAATGATGTGCGCTAAATATGCCACATACGCAGCGGCCTGACTCTCCACTGTTGCCGTTGTGATATGTATGCTTCAGCTGAAGCAGTTCAAATCCAAATGAACAGCTGCCCAACACCTGGAGGAGATTCATCCATTCGCTCACTGGAAGAAAGATAGGAGTCGGTTGAAACATTATAATTTTTCCCCTTTTAAAAAG